TCGTCAGGAAACAGGACGAGTGTTTCTTGACGCGGGTTTAAGTCATACGATGACTCACCATTGTAGCTTTTTGGTCATCTGACCGAGACCTTCCGCTGGCATACTCCTCCACCCCTTCAAAAATTAGGGTAATATGAGGTCTATTTTAGGTATGAAGGTATTACTGACTAGTGAAAACATTTCCAACTATTAACTAGTCCAGTGTCTCAACCTTCTACAGTGTCACCTTCCATTCTACTGCTGGTACTAGTTTACTTATAAACCTCTGGACTTTTTACTCGTGGAGTATATATTTTGTGGAGTATATATTTTGTGGAGTATATATTTTGTGGAGTATATATTTTGCAGGTGAGCTGGTACTTATGTGTTTAACGTTTAGCATACCGAAGGCTGGTGTACCGAGTATACTGACAGTCTTGTATACACTGTCCACCTTGTACGATTTACGTCACTAACAAATTCACAGTAACAACTTTCTAATTATTTTTACACACACACCTGCGTGCGGCCAGCAGTAACAGCCTGGTTGATCAGGCCCTGATCCATCGGGAGGCCTGGTCATGGACCGGGCCGCGGGGGCGTTGATCCCCGGAATAACCTCCAGGTAACCTACCTTGAAGTTTTTAAAATTTCCACTTGTGTTGTATTGGAGGTATTGGTGGAGGTGTTAATGGTAGTGGTGGTGGTAGTGGTAGTTGTGGGTGAGGTGGTGGTGGTAGTTGTGGTAGTGTGAATGGGTTTATGGGGTATTGTTTAGGGGTATGTGGACACTTTTATGATAAGTGTGACCAACCCTGGTTAGTTATACCTTCCTTAACTTAGTTATACCTTCCTTTAACTTATAATAACCATCTTTACCATCCGTCCATCCTTGTCTCTCCCCCTCTATACATCCCACCATTTCGCATCCTCTCTCTCTCTCTCCGTCCCTCCCTCCCTCCCTCCCTCTCTCTCTCTCTACATCCCTCCTTCCCTCTCCCTTCCCGTCTCTCCTTCCCTGCCTCTATCCCTCCCTGATATGGTTTACATCTCCGTACGTTGGACTGCGTGCGGCCAGCAGTAACAGCCTGGTTGATCAGGCCCTGATCCATCGGGAGGCCTGGTCATGGACCGGGCCGCGGGGGCGTTGATCCCCGGAATAACCTCCAGGAGTACAGTATGTTGTGGCACAGCTTTCCACTGTGGCCGCCTCTTGACAATCTGTTCATTATTACTTTGGCTTCTATCTATTGGTTTGGGAAAAGTTAATAACCATCTATCTCTTTTCAAATTATTCATTTAACAATTATTTTGTGTGCATACTACATACTACATCTGCATTCTGTCTGTCCTCCAGTTCATCCATGACCATGTCATAGTGGTCCAGTAGTTGTGAGCGGCAGGAGTGACCATCCAAGACCATGTCATAGTGGTCCAGTAGTTGTGAGGCAGGAGTAAACCATCAAGACCATTGTCATAGTGGTCCAGTAGTTGTGAGGGGCAGGAGTGACCATTCAACCCATGTTATAGTGGTCCAGTAGTTTTGAGAGGCAGGAGTGACCATTAAAGCCCATGTCATAGTGGTCCAGTAGTTGTGAGAGGCAGGAGTGACCATTCAAGACCGTGTTATAGTGGTCCAGTAGTTGTGAGAGGCAGGAGTGACCATCCAAGACCATGTCATAGTGGTCCAGTAGTTGTGAGCGGCAGGAGTGACCATTCAAGACCATGTTATAGTGGTCCAGTAGTTGTGAGAGGCAGGAGTGACCATCCAAGAATGTCATAGTGGCCCGTAGTTGTGAGACGCAGTATAGTGACCATCCAAGACCGTGTCATAGTGGTCCGTAGTGTGAGAGGCAGGAGTGACCATGCAAACCGTGTTATAGTGGTCCGTAGTTGTGGAGGCAGGAGTGACCATCCAAGACCATGTCATAGTGGGTCCAGTAGTTGGAGCGGCAGGAGTGACCATTCAAGACCATGTTATAGTGGTCCAGTAGTTGTGAGAGGCAGGAGTGACCATCCAAGACCATGTCATAGTGGTCCAGTAGTTGTGAGAGGCAGGAGTGACCATCCAAGACCATGCATAGTGGTCCAGTAGTTGTGAGAGGGCAGGAGTGACCATCCAAGACCATGTCATAGTGGTCCAGTAGTTGTGAGAGGCAGGAGTGACCATTCAAGACCGTGTTATGGGTGGTACGTAGTTGTGAGAGGCAGTAGTGACCATCCAAGCCCATGTCATAGTGGTCCAGTGTTGTGAGCGCAGGAGTGACCATTAAAGATCAGGGTTATTGTGGTCCAGTAGTTGTGAGAGGCAGGAGTGACCATCCAAGACCATGTCATAGTGGTCCAGTAGTTGTGAGGGCGGATTTGCCCCATCCAAGACCATGTCATTAGTGGTCCAGTAGTTGTGAGGCAGGAGGGGACCATCCAAGAACCATGTCATAGTGGTCCAGTAGTTGTGAGAGGCAGGAGTGACCATCAAGACCATGTTATAGTGGTCCAGTAGTTGTGAGAGGCAAGGAGGTGCCCACCCAAAGACCATGTCATAGTGGTCCAGTAGTTTGTGAGAGGCGGATGGACATCCAAGACCATGTCATAGTGGTCCAGTAGTTGTGAGAGGCAGGAGGGGACCATCCAAGACCATGTCATAGTGGTCCAGTAGTTGTGAGAGGCAGGAGTGACCATCCAGACCATGTTTCATATTGGTCGTAGTTGTGAGAGGCAGGAGTGCCCATCCAAGACCAAGTCCATAGGGTCCAGTAGTTGTGAGCGGCAGGAGTGACCCATTAAAAGACCAATGTTATGTGGTCCAGTAGTTTTTGAGAGGCAGGAGTGACCATCCAAGACCATGTCATAGTGGTCCAGTAGTTGTGAGAGGCAGGAGTGACCATCCAAGACCATGTCATAGTGGTCCAGTAGTTGTGAGAGGCAGGAGTGACCATCCAAGACCATGTCATAGTGGTCCAGTAGTTGTGAGAGGCAGGAGTGACCATCCAAGACCATGTCATAGTGGTCCGTAGTTGTCAGAGGTAGGAACGACCTGCTCTAAATCCACGCTGCCCTGGATTGTGCAACTGTTGGGAATCCAAATGGTTAGCGATCTTGTTTCTTACAACTCTTTCAAAGATTTTTATAATGTGGGAGGTTAGAGATATCCGTCTATAATTCTTTGTTACTGCTTTAAGAGGTGTATATTCTTACACTGTACTGACTTGATGAAGCTGCGCCAGCGATACTCATATCTACTTTACCTTAACATAGGTCAGTAATTATACCAATATTGAGAGAGGGAGAGACAGAGAGAGTTGGTTCCCTGATCCGTTCTCTGGCACGATCAATACAGCTCTGGCACTCTACCAGCCACCTGCCCCCCCCCACCCCACCACAAACACACTAACAGTAGACAGAAGAACATAGGAATGCAGCAGCATTACACAGACCTAGTGTTTCATGCTAGGCACAGGATTATAGTCATGGGGAACACTAAACCTCATTCTAGACACAGCCTCCTCAGTGTACACAAGCACTCTTGTGTACACTTGTACACATTTATTAAAGACAATGTTTGTCCACAAATGACTATCAGTCTAACACAATAAACAAAACATATTAAATAATAGAAAGTAGGTGTGAGGTGAGGCAGGTGGTATAGGTGACCAGTAGCAGGTGTGAGGTGAGGCAGGTGGTATAGGTGACCAGTAGCAGGTGTGAGGTGAGGCAGGTGGTATAGGTGACCAGTAGCAGGTGTGAGGTGAGGCAGGTGGTATAGGTGACCAGTAGCAGGTGTGAGGCGAGGCAGGTGGTATAGGTGACCAGTAGCAGGTGTGAGGTGACAGATGATTTGTCACCTACAGTGTCCACTGCTTAATACCAAGTTTCACTTCGTCTTAACACTGTGGACGCCACTCGTGGCCAAAATTTGTTATGGACAAGTGTGCAGAGTTGTAGACAAGTGTCCTTGTCCAGAGTATAAGTGCCACCATAACACAACCACATACTCCTCGATAATTCTCCCACTGGAAGGAAGGCGGGGTAGGGGTCGGCCTAGGAAAGGTTGGAGGGGGGGGGTAAAGGAGGTTTTGTGTGCGAGGGGCTTGGACTTCCAGCAGGCATGCGTGAGCATGTTTGATAGGAGTGAATGGAGACGAATGGTTTTTAATACTTGATGTGCTGTTGGAGTGTGAGCAAAGTAACATTTATGAAGGGATTCAGGGAAACCGGCAGGCCGGACTTGAGTCCTGGAGATGGGAAGTACAGTGCCTGCACTCTGAAGGAGGGGTGTTAATGTTGCAGTTTAAAAACTGTAGTGTAAAGCACCCTTCTGGCAAGACAGTGATGGAGTGAATGATGGTGAAAGTTTTTTCTTTTTCGGGCCACCCTGCCTTGGTGGGAATCAGCCAGTGTGATAAAAAAAATAAAAATAAGAAATATATTACCTTCAATGACACTACTTGGCACATTATCCCACTCATCAACACACTCTTGTCAAACTAATACTTTCCTAAATGATCTACCTGAATCCATTGTTTCCAGTTCTTGGTAGAATATCCTCACTTCCCTCTTCATATATTTTATCCCCGTCTTTCACTTACATGTTTCAATCACGTCTTCCCTGATTCCAGGTCTTTCAAGAGAGTGAAGGTTGGATTTCGTATCTTCTAATGAAATATCATTTATATAATGGATTGATTTGATCCTTCTCTGTATATTCTCTCATGTATTTATGTATATTCTGAAGTATGGAGACCGGAAGTGAGCTGCATAATCCACGTGAGGTTATAATGATACAGAGAACTGGTGTTTTGTTGGTGACTTTCTAGGGTTATTATACCTCCACAACCAGCATGAGGTCACTGTTTGACCACTCTGTTATCCAGGCTGCTTGTGGCATCATACTGTACTACAAGGTCGTAGTAGTCACCACAGAGGGAAGGTAACAACTAGGAGGAGGAAAGGTGGCAGTGTCAACACAAGTGGTAGGGAAGGAGTAAGAGATCAAGACAGGAAGGATAACAAGTACTCACCAGTTGGAGGACGGAGTCAATGGCTCGGTTGTACTTGTCACACAGCTGCCGCATACTCTCGTAGCTGTCAACACATGTGTGTAGTGTCAGTACATTATTTATACACACCTCTTAACACATTAAAACATACCTAACACTACCTACACTCTATTATATACTATTCTACACCCTCCCCCACCCTCATTTATGAAAGTCAAGACACATGTGCAACATCTGGGTATCTTTATTGTAGACGTTTCGCCATCCAGTGACTTTATCAATACAGATTCTAGGACATAGCTTGAAGACAGTAGAACTATATACAAAAGATTAGGAAATCAGTCCCTCAGCCTGGAGTTGATGTGAAGAGCACCGTAGTTGTGGAGGTTCTGGAACACAGACAAGGAGGCTGGCGGTTATATAGGCGTCAGGAATCTTGGTTCAGAAGACATTTACACGACCTTCTTCACGGCTACTACAACAACTACTACAACTAACCCATCACATAGGGTACGACCTACTTCCACTGGGAATCCCGTCTACCAGTGACTATGCCCTCGTCTTGCTACCGTCCCTACCTTCCTGACACCATTAAGCGCCAGCCTCCTTGTCTGTTTCCAGAAACTCCACAACTACGGTGCTTCTCATCCAATCAAAGTCCAAGGCTGAGGGACTGATTTCCTAATCTTTTGTATATAGTTCTACTGTCTTCAAGTTATGTCCTAGAATCTGTATTGATAAAGTCACTGGATGGCGAAACGTCTACAATAAAGATACCGAGATGTTGCACACGTGTCTTAACTTTCATCATGTCGGAATTGTATACCTTTCTTGCACATACATGTATACTTGGCTACACTTACAACCTCAAACCTTCAGGTTATACTTTTACCATATACTATCTTACACTCTCCTACATACATATATAATAACCAGTCCACGCAGTACAATAAACACAGGCAGCAGCTGCCTGTGTTTATAATACAAACAAATACTGAGTTCGTTCTACCTTATCTGGGGTGCACTTGTACACCCCAGATTTATATACCCTCTTAGTCCTCCTGTTCTGCACTATGGTATCTAAACAGTCAATAACACCCTGGATGAAGAGATGTAAATACTGACCTTCTGGTGTCGTAGTCAGAGAGAATATTAACCTCCATGGCTCGTTTAAGTTCAGGGACATCTTCACACACCCATCTGTAAATACACGTAACATATATTAATATAAAATATACAGCAAGAAATAAGTGGTGATAAAGAGATAATGAAAGGAGACTCCAAACGTGGTATATGATAGTGATGGACCTGGTACTTGTATGGAACACGTGGTACATGATAGTGATGGACCTGGTACTAGTATGGAACACGTGGTACATGATAGTGATGGACCTGGTACTTGTATGGAACACGTGGTACATGATAGTGATGGACCTGGTACTAGTATGGAACACGTGATTCATGAGGGTAGTGATAGGTCTGGTACTAGTATGGACCACATGGTTCATCAGAGCAGTACTGGACCAACACTAACATGGATCATGACTCCAGTCACTGTTTATTTAAAATACATAAGAATAAGTAAGATTACGGAGATACATTTACATACACATTAATACAAATATCATACACAGTCTAACATGTGTAAATTATCCACCAAAATAACCCCAACAAAGTTAGTCAAAGTGACTTATTGTCTCGTCAACGTGGACTGGGTAAGAACACACACGTAGACTCTTAAGTACGTATATTACACGGAATATTGATGGTGGCCTGGTGGTTAACGCTCTCGCTTCACACGGAGAGGGCCTGGGTTCGATTCCCAGCCAGAGTAGAAACATTGGACGTGTTTCTTTCCACCTGTTGTCTATGTTCCCCATCAGTAAAATGGGTACCTGGGTGTTAGTCGACTGGTGTGGGTCGCATCCTGGGACACTGACCTAATTTGCCCGACATGCGGTGCATAACAAGGGACTTTCTATATAGTAGTATGTCATTGTTGTCAGCTAGGACTGTATGCCTTGTACATGTACTTGTAGTAAATAAACATATTATTATTATTATTATTATTATTATTATTATTATTATATATGGGAAGCGCCAAGCCTGACCTGCCGCCTGTCTAACGCCTCTACCTGGACTGACTCCCCAGTGCCTCAGAGGGTGAGCGGTCTTTTAATTATGCTAGGTCAGCTGTAACACTGAATAACAGTCAGTGATTCACGCAGGAGCAGAGGATCAGTGCTAGGTCAGCTGTAACAGTGAATAACAGTCAGTGATTCACGCAGGAGCAGAGGATCAGTGCTAGGTCAGCTGCAACAGTGAATAACAGTCTGATTCACGCAGGAGCAGAAGATCAGTGCTAGGTCAGCTGTAACAGTGAATAACAGTCAGTGATTCACGCAGGAGCAGACGATCAGTGCTAGGTCAGCTGTAACAGTGAATAACAGTCAGTGATTCACGCAGGAGCAGAGGATCAGTGCTAGGTCAGCTGTAACAGTGAATAACAGTCAGTGATTCACGCAGGAGCAGAGGATCAGTGCTAGGTCAGCTGTAACAGTGAATAACAGTCAGTGATTCACGCAGGACCAGACGATCAGTGCTAGGTCAGCTGTAACAGTGAATAACAGTCAGTGATTCACGCAGGACCAGACGATCAGTGCTAGGTCAGCTGTAACAGTGAATAACAGTCAGTGATTCACGCAGGAGCAGACGATCAGTGCTAGGTCAGCTGTAACAGTGAATAACAGTCAGTGATTCACGCAGGAGCAGACGATCAGTGACGGTCGGTGTATGAGTCATTACTACTGGTTACTGGTAACTGGTACTACTGAGATTACCAGTGTGGTGCTTGTAATATTACCAGTGTGGTACTTGTAATATTACCAGTGTGGTGCTTGTAATATTACCAGTGTGGTGCTTGTAATATTACCAGTGTGGTGCTTGTAATATTACCAGTGTGGTACTTGTAATATTACCAGTGTGGTGCTTGTAATATTACCAGTGTGGTACTTGTAATATTACCAGTGTGGTACTTGTAATATTACCAGTGTGGTGCTTGTAATATTGCCAGTGCGGTGCTTGTAATATTACCAGTGTGGTACTTGTAATATTAACAGTGTGGTGCTTGTAATATTACCAGTGTGGTGCTTGTAATATTACCAGTGTGGTGCTTATAATATTACCAGTGTGGTACTTGTAATATTACCAGTGTGGTACTTGTAATATTACCAGTGTGGTACTTGTAATATTACCAGTGTGGTACTTGTAATATTACCAGTGTGGTGCTTGTAATATTACCAGTGTGGTGCTTGTAATATTACCAGTGTGGTACTTGTAATATTACCAGTGTGGTGCTTGTAATATTACCAGTGTGGTACTTGTAATATTACCAGTGTGGTGCTTGTAATATTACCAGTGTGGTACTTGTAATATTACCAGTGTGGTGCTTGTAATATTACCAGTGTGGTGCTTGTAATATTACCAGTGTGGTGCTTGTAATATTACCAGTGTGATGCTTGTAATATTACCAGTGTGGTGCTTGTAATATTACCAGTGTGGTGCTTGTAATATTACCAGTGTGATGCTTGTAATATTACCAGTGTGGTGCTTGTAATATTACCAGTGTGGTACTTGTAATATTACCAGTGTGGTGCTTGTAATATTACCAGTGTGGTGCTTGTAATATTACCAGTGTGATGCTTGTAATATTACCAGTGTGGTGCTTGTAATATTACCAGTGTGGTACTTGTAATATTACCAGTGTGGTGCTTGTAATATTACCAGTGTGGTGCTTGTAATATTACCAGTGTGATGCTTGTAATATTACCAGTGTGGTGCTTGTAATATTACCAGTGTGGTGCTTGTAATATTACCAGTGTGATGCTTGTAATATTACCAGTGTGGTGCTTGTAATATTACCAGTGTGGTGCTTGTAATATTACCAGTGTGGTGCTTGTAATATTACCAGTGTGGTACTTGTAATATATTATTTAACAGACAGCTGTAATATACAGTAATAATCAGTCATAATTATAACAAAAAATAACACAGGTAAGTGACACAACTCTGTGTTATAATGTAGGTATAAAGTGAATTATTTAAAGAGGAGTAGTTTACAATAACAGTTGTGATGAATGGTTTGAAAAACCGACAAGTTGAAGATTGAGACACTTATGCAGCATATGGGAATCTTTATTCAGGAAACGTTTCGCCACACAGTGGCTTCATCAGTCCAATACAAACAGGAAGGCATAATGAGAGGAGGAGTATGAGGTAATCAGTCCCTCAGCCTGGAGTCGAAGACGTACTTCGACTAGTGGATGGTACCACTATGACCCCGCCTCCACCTGCTTCACCTCACCTCACTACTTCGACTAGTGGATGGTACCACTATGACCCCGCCTCCACCTGCTTCACCTCACCTCACTACTTCGACTAGTGGATGGTACCACTATGACCCCGCCTCCACCTGCTTCACCTCACCTCACTACTTCGACTAGTGGATGGTACCACTATGACCCCGCCTCCGCCTGCTTCACCTCACCTCACTACTTCGACTAGTGGATGGTACCACTATGACCCCGCCTCCGCCTGCTTCACCTCACCTCACTACTTCGACTAGTGGATGGTACCACTATGACCCCGCCTCCGCCTGCTTCACCTCACCTCACTACTTCGACTAGTGGATGGTACCACTATGACCCCGCCTCCGCCTGCTTCACCTCACCTCACTACTTCGACTAGTGGATGGTACCACTATGACCCCGCCTCCGCCTGCTTCACCTCACCCCACTACTTCGACTAGTGGATGGTACCACTATGACCCCGCCTCCGCCTGCTTCACCTCACCTCACTACTTCGACTAGTGGATGGTACCACTATGACCCCGCCTCCGCCTGCTTCACCTCACCTCACTACTTCGACTAGTGGATGGTACCACTATGACCCCGCCTCCGCCTGCTTCACCTCACCTCACTACTTCGACTAGTGGATGGTACCACTATGACCCGCTCCGCCTGCTTCACCTCACCTCACTACTTCGACTAGTGGATGGTACCACTATGACCCCGCCTCCGCCTGCTTCACCTCACCTCACTACTTCGACTAGTGGATGGTACCACTATGACCCCGCCTCCACCTGCTTCACCTCACCTCACTACTTCGACTAGTGGATGGTACCACTATGACCCCGCCTCCACCTGCTTCACCTCACCTCACTACTTCAACTAGTGGATGGTACCACTATGACCCCGCCTCCTGCTGCTTCACCTCACCTCACTACTTCAACTAGTGGATGGTACCACTATGACCCCGCCTCCACCTGCTTCACCTCACCTCACTACTTCGACTAGTGGATGGTACCACTATGACCCCGCCTCCTGCTGCTTCACCTCACCTCACTACTTCAACTAGTGGATGGTACCACTATGACCCCGCCTCCTGCTGCTTCACCTCACCTCACTACTTCAACTAGTGGATGGTACCACTATGACCCCGCCTCCTGCTGCTTCACCTCACCTCACTACTTCGACTAGTGGATGGTACCACTATGACCCCGCCTCCACCTGCTTCACCTCACCTCACTACTTCGACTAGTGGATGGTACCACTATGACCCCGCCTCCACCTGCTTCACCTCACCTCACTACTTCGACTAGTGGATGGTACCACTATGACCCCGCCTCCCCCTGCTTCACCTCACCTCACTACTTCGACTAGTGGATGGTACCACTATGACCCCGCCTCCACCTGCTTCACCTCACCTCACTACTTCGACTAGTGGATGGTACCACTATGACCCCGCCTCCACCTGCTTCACCTCACCTCACTACTTCGACTAGTGGATGGTACCACTATGACCCCGCCTCCACCTGCTTCACCTCACCTCACTACTTCGACTAGTGGATGGTACCACTATGACCCCGCCTCCACCTGCTTCACCTCACCTCACTACTTCGACTAGTGGATGGTACCACTATGACCCCGCCTCCACCTGCTTCACCTCACCTCACTACTTCGACTAGTGGATGGTACCACTATGACCCCGCCTCCACCTGCTTCACCTCACCTCACTACTTCGACTAGTGGATGGTACCACTATGACCCCGCCTCCACCTGCTTCACCTCACCTCACTACTTCGACTAGTGGATGGTACCACTATGACCCCGCCTCCACCTGCTTCACCTCACCTCACTACT